TCACCCTTTTCCCATCATCAATTCTATGATTCACCTCATCTTTCATAGACCCATCCGCTGACACGTCCACTCCCAAATATCTGAATACATTCACCTCCTCCATACTCTCTCCCTCAAATCTGATATCCAATCTTTCATCACCTAATCTTTTTGTTATCCTCATAACCTTACTCTTTCCTGTATTCACTTTCAATTTTCTTCTTTTGCACACCCTACCAAATTCATCCACCAATCTCTGCAACTTCTCTTCAGAATCTCCCAAGAGCACAGTGTCATCAGCAAAGAGCAACTGTGACAACTCCCACTTTATGTGTGATTCTTTATCTTTTAACTCCACGCCTCTTGCCAAGACCCTCACATTTACTTCTCTTACAACCCCATCTATAAATATATTAAACAACCACGGTGACATCACACATCCTTGTCTAAGGCCTACTTTTACTGGGAAATAATTTCCCTCTTTCCTACATACTCTAACTTGAGCCTCACTATCCTCGTAAAAACTCTTCACTGCTTTCAGTAACCTACCTCCTACACCATACACCTGCAACATCTGCCACATTGCTCCCCTATCCACCCTGTCATACGCCTTTTCCAAATCCATAAATGCCACAAAGACCTCTTTAGCCTTATCTAAATACTGTTCACTTATATGTTTCACTGTAAACACCTGGTCCACACACCCCCTACCTTTCCTAAAGCCTCCTTGTTCATCTGCTATCCTATTCTCTGTCTTACTCTTAATTCTTTCAATAATAACTCTACCATACACTTTGCCAGGTATACTCAACAGACTTATCCCCCTATAATTTTTGCACTCTCTTTTATCCCCTTTGCCTTTATACAAAGGAACTATGCATGCTCTCTGCCAATCCCTAGGTACCTTACCCTCTTCCATACATTTATTAAATAATTGCACCAACCACTCCAAAACTATATCCCCACCTGCTTTTAACATTTCTATCTTTATCCCATCAATCCCGGCTGCCTTACCCCCTTTCATTTTACCTACTGCCTCACGAACTTCCCCCACACTCACAACTGGCTCTTCCTCACTCCTACAAGATGTTATTCCTCCTTGTCCTATACACGAAATCACAGCTTCCCTATCTTCATCAACATTTAACAATTCCTCAAAATATTCCCTCCATCTTTCCAATACCTCTAACTCTCCATTTAATAACTCTCCTCTCCTATTTTAACTGACAAATCCATTTGTTCTCTAGGCTTTCTTAACTTGTTAATCTCACTCCAAAACTTTTTCTTATTTTCAACAAAATTTGTTGATAACATCTCACCCACTCTCTCATTTGCTCTCTTTTTACATTGCTTCACCACTCTCTTAACCTCTCTCTTTTTCTCCATATACTCTTCCCTCCTTGCATCACTTCTACTTTGTAAAAACTTCTCATATGCTAACTTTTTCTCCCTTACTACTCTCTTTACATCATCATTCCACCAATCGCTCCTCTTCCCTCCCGCGCCCACTTTCCTGTAACCACAAACTTCTGCTGAACACTCTAACACTACATTTTTAAACCTACCCCATACTTCTTCGACCCCATTGCCTATGCTCTCATTAGCCCATCTATCCTCCAATAGCTGTTTATATCTTACCCTAACTGCCTCCTCTTTTAGTTTATATATATATATATATATATATATATATATATATATATATATATATATATATATATATATATATATTCTGGGTAGTAGGTTGGTAGACAGCAACCACCCAGGGAGGTACTACTGTCCTGCCAAGTGAGTGTAAAACGGAAGCCTGTAATTGTTTTACATGATGGTAGGATTGCTGGTGTCTTTTTATTCTGTCTCATAAATATGCAAGGTTTCAGGTACGTCTTGCTACTTCTACTTACACTTAAGTCACACTACACATACATGTACAAGCATATATATGTATATATACACACCCCTCTGGGTTTTCTGCTATTTTCTTTCTAGTTCTTGTTCTTGTTTATTTCCTCTTATCTCCATAGGGAAGTAGAACAGAATTCTTCCTCCGTAAGCCATGCGTGTTGTAAGAGGCGACTAAAATGCCGGGAGCAAGGGGCTAGTAACCCCTTCTCCTGTATAAATTACTAAATGTAAAAGGAGAATCTTTCATTTTTCCTTTTGGGCCGCCCCGCCTCGGGGTGGCCCAAATATATACTATATATATATATATCAATGCGGTTTGAATAATGATTATGTATTTAATTAGTAATGTTAGATAATTAATTACATATTTCTGCAAATTACTATAAGAATAATAATAGTAATAATAGCACACCAAGTACCTAATTGCAGAGGAGATGTTAATCATTGGTTGTAGGTAATTATGCAAAGATGGTTGGCCAGAGGATGCAAGACTCTGTGACTTACTTGATTGTTGGTGCTGGCAGAGCGTGCATACTCTAGCACACGCGCACTAATGCATCTATGACAAAAACATCAAAACCAATATTTTGAGTTATTTCAAACTCAAAAATAAACAAAAAAATATTTTAAACTAAATGATAAAGATCGAATTCTTGAAAATCAAAATTTTCTCTTTTCTTTTTTTGGAAAAAACAGAATAAATCAATTGAGGGAAATGGAACAAAACCAGAGAATTGAAAAATGGTAAAAAAAAAAAAAGTCTTAGGCTTAAGAAAACAGAATAAAATTGCGATTTAAAATTTTCGGAGCTTCTTAGGATCTTAAATAATATAAAAAATAAAATGTGCATAGGCCTATAAATTTGTATATATACATTTATAAAAGAAGTTTTTGTATATATATATATATATGTATATATATATATATATATATATATATATATATATATATATATATATATATATATATATATATATTATATATATATATATATATATATATATATATATATATATATATATAGGCATACAGTAGAACCCTTTTATCCATGGATTTTGTATCCACAGTTTCAGTTACCCACTGTTTACTGTGGCCCAAAAATAGCCCAAAATTTTGCTTAACCCGTAAATGGTCCAAACGTATATATACGTTTTTTCAACATTTGATAGTATGTAAAAAAAGTAGATCATTTTTTTCTTTTTTTACATTTGAAAACATGTTAAAAATCTTTGACCTATGTTGTTTTTTTTTTTGTTATATTTGAAAATACATAAAAAAAAGTAGATCTACTTCTGGAGCGGCAGACATGTGAACGTAGATCTGCTGGGACTGTTTACAGGTTAATAATGACCCCAAAGTGCAAAAGTAGCGATGCCCGAAAGAAGCTGTGACACCTGAGAGAAGCTGTGACACCTGAGAGAAGCTGTGATGCCTGAGAGAAGCTGTGACACCTGAGAGAAGCTGTGATGCCTGAGAGAAGCTGTGACACCTGAGAGAAGCTGTGACACCTGAGAGAAGCTGTGATGCCTGAGAGAAGCTGTGACACCTGAGAGAAGCTGTGACACCTGAGAGAAGCTGTGACACCTGAGAGAAGCTGTGACACCTGAGAGAAGCTGTGACACCTGAGAGAAGCTGTGATGCCTGAGAGAAGCTGTGACACCTGAGAGAAGCTGTGACACCTGAGAGAAGCTGTGACACCTGAGAGAAGCTGTGACACCTGAGAGAAGCTGTGACACCTGAGAGAAGCTGTGACACCTGAGAGAAGCTGTGACACCTGAGAGAAGCTGTGACACCTGAGAGAAGCTGTGACACCTGAGAGAAGCTGTGACACCTGAGAGAAGCTGTGACACCTGAGAGAAGCTGTGACACCTGAGAGAAGCTGTGACACCTGAGAGAAGCTGTGACACCTGAGAGAAGCTGTGACACCTGAGAGAAGCTGTGACACCTGAGAGAAGCTGTGACACCTGAGAGAAGCTGTGGAACCTCAGAGAAGCTGTGAAACCTCAGAGAAGCTGTTAAACCTCAGAGAAGCTGTTAAACCTAAGAGAAGCTGTTAAACCTAAGAGAAGCTGTTAAACCTCAGAGAAGCTGTGAAACCTCAGAGAAGCTGTTAAACCTCAGAGAAGCTGTTAAACCTCAGAGAAGCTGTGAAACCTAAGAGAAGCTGTTAAACCTAAGAGAAGCTGTTAAACCTAAGAGAAGCTGTGAAACCTCAGAGAAGCTGTGAAACCTAAGAGAAGCTGTTAAACCTAAGAGAAGCTGTGAAACCTCAGAGAAGCTGTTAAACCTAAGAGAAGCTGTTAAACCTAAGAGAAGCTGTTAAACCTAAGAGAAGCTGTTAAACCTCAGAGAAGCTGTTAAACCTCAGAGAAGCTGTTAAACCTCATAGAAGCTGTTAAACCTCAGAGAAGCTGTTAAACCTCAGAGAAGCTGTTAAACCTCAGAGAAGCTGTTAAACCTCAGAGAAGCTGTTAAACCTAAGAGAAGCTGTTAAACCTCAGAGAAGCTGTTAAACCTCAGAGAAGCTGTTAAACCTCAGAGAAGCTGTTAAACCTAAGAGAAGCTGTTAAACCTCAGAGAAGCTGTTAAACCTCAGAGAAGCTGTTAAACCTTAGAGAAGCTGTTAAACCTCAGAGAAGCTGTTAAACCTCAGAGAAGCTTCCCATCAGTGAAGAATTGCTAATTCTAAACTTATTTTGCATAATTTATCAATTAAACCTCATCTGGGTATGAGTGCAAATTAAAAATGACTTATTTATTGGGTTCTCTGCTAGCCATGGTATATATATATACATGTATGTATGTATTATATATATATATATATATATATATATATATATATATATATATATATATTATATATATATTATATATATATATATATAAACATTGTCTCTAGGTCCACAGCAGGACTCGACAATGTTTGCAAATAATTTCACCTGTTTGCAAATTGTTAAGCATATATATACATATACATATTTAAATATATACACATTAATAGATTCGTCTTATTCCCTACTCTGTAAATAATTTTTTTTCCTTTATTAAGTTCTGAAATTAATGTTATGCTGAGTTTGATTCATCAATCAATCTCTGGTTCTTCCATTCCCTCAACTGACCTGTTTCTTCTCCAGTTCCGTCACCAGCAATTCCAGTTGACTCTGCAATCTCTGTTTCTCAACAGCGGAGTTTTTCAACTCGTTGTTGGCTCTGTCCAAATCAGATTTTAATCTTTGTGTGTCTGAGTTCTCGCGTGGGTTGTTACTCTGTTTTTGTAACTGCTGCTGTTGTTGTTGCAGCTGCTGTTGCAGGATCTGCAGCTGTTGGGTCTGTTGTTGTATTTGTTGCTGCGACTGTTGTGCCTGTTTCTGTAAGGTCTGGTTCTGTTGTTGGGTCTGTTGGTTTTGCTGCGTTATCTGGTGTATCTGTTTGTTGAGCTCCTGATTCTGTTGGGTCAGCTGTTGTATCTGTTGATTGCTCTTCTGTGTCTCTTGTGCCATGGATTGCATTTGTTTCTGCATCTCCTGAACAGCTCTCTCACCCTGATCGGCCCTCTGCCGTTCAGAAATGACGCTTTGTTGTAGCTTCGCTGTTTCTCCTTCTCCCTTCATACTAGATTCCTTCACTTGCTTCTCCATCTCTGCTGCATCACGCTCAGCCTTTTCGGCTCGTAATCTGCATTTCTCTCCTTCACTACGCAATATGCCTAGTTCCTTCTCCTTCCCTTGTAATTGCACAATTAGATTCTTCAGTTCCTTCTCAGCTTCCCTCTGAATCAGCCCTGCTTCTTTCTGGGCAACCTGTGCAGTCTGTTGAGCCTTGTGAACCTCCTGTTGTAACCTCTGCACTTCCTTCTCTGCCTCGGCTCTGAGAGCATTGAATTCCTTCTCCTTAGTGGATAGCTGCCCACTCAGTTTTTGGATTTCATTTTCCTTGCTTTCCAGCATGTCTTTTGTGCCTTGTTCCATTTCTTTGGTTGTGTTGTTCAGCTCTGACTTTATCCGCTTGTTCTCATCTCGGGATTTTTGCAAGTCAGATTCGGTTTGTTTCAGTTCCTGTTGGAAGTTCAAAAGCATATCCTGAGATTTTTCTAATTGCTTAACTAATTGATCCCGCTCTGACTCTAACTGTGTCAAGTCTGACTCTAGTTTTGCAATCATTTTTTCACGTTTCTCTTGTGTTGTGTTTAGCCTCTCCTTCTCATTTGCGACTTTAGAGAGTTCATCCTTAGCTCTTTCAAGCTCTTTATTGAGTCTAATAATCTCCTCTTTGCATTTGTCAAGATCTTGATTGGATTTTTGTTGATAATCAGTCGCTTTACCAATCATTGCTTTAGTTTCTTCTAAGTCTCTCTTGTGTTTTCTATTTTCTGTTTCTAATCTTTCTTTGGCATCATTAGCTCTTCTAAGTTCAGTCTGTGACTTTTCAAGGCGTTCGTGGAGCTTCTCAAGCTCCACTGACATTCTTTCAAATTCTATTTTGGCTGACTCATTGCTTTCTTGGTACTTAGACATGTGTTGCTGTGATCGTTCCATCTCATGAGTCAGTCGCTGAACCTCCAACTCAGCTTTTTCCTTCCCCGCTTGAGCGCGAGCCAGGTCAGACTGAGTACGTTCCAATTTATCTTTGAACTTGTTAACTTCTATGGAAGTTTTCTCTACTTCAGTTTTGTTACGATCTTGAGCAGCGAGGAAACGCTCTAGTTGCTCTTGGCTCAGGAGTAGATCACTCCGAAGTCGTTCATTTTCACTTTCCATTTTCTCAATTTTCTGTTGTGATTTTGTACATTCTATCTGTGACCTTTCGTACTTATCCTTTATCTTCTCATTCTCAATGTTCAGTCGTTCAAGTTCTCCCTCGTATTTTTCATGAGATGTGGAGAACTTGCCTACCCTTGATTGTGTCTTATCTAACTCTGCTTTCATACTTGCAATTTCTTCAGAGTATTTCTCATTTAAGAGCTTTTCTTTCTGTAAATCAATTTGGCTAGTGTCGTATCGCTCACGCAACCGTTCGTTCTCCAATACAATCTTTTCTATATCCTGTTTGTTCTTCTCATAATCTAGTTGATATTTACCTCTCTGTTGATCTGCTCTGTCCATGTCACTCTTGAGCTTCATCACTTCCTTCTCGTACTTCTCCCGCAAGATGCTCTCTCTTTCCAGGTCCTTTTGGGCCTTTTCAAATTTGTCCTTCACTCTCTCAATCTCAATTTTTAGTAGTTCGTAGTCTTCTTTCGTCCGTTCCGTGTTTTCTTGATATTTCCCCATCCGCACCAGAACCCGATCCATTTCACCTTGCAAGTTTTCGCACTCCTGCTGCAACTTCTCCTTTTCATTGCGGACTTTGCTGAGTTCTAAAGTGTTCCTCTCATACTTATCTTTATACTTTTCAACTTCGATTTGTAGTCGGGCAATTTCCTCCTGGCTTTTTTCCTGGCTGTTTTGTGCCTTTCCATACTGCGCTTGGGCTCGCTCTAACTCAAATGTCAATTGGTCAACATCATTTTGTAGTTTCTCCTTCTCGCTGCCCACGCGGCGGAGCTCGACAGTGGTCTTGTCATAGCGCTCCTTGAGAATGGTCAAATCCACATTGAGTCGCTCAATTTCTTCCTTCAGTTTCTCCTCAGCCTCTTTAGCTCGGACACACTGGAGGCTCGACCGGTCATATGATTCTTGTATGCGGTCATAGTCCTCTTGAAGTTTGACCTTCTCATCCTTGATTTTGTTAAAGAGAACATGGGTCTTTTCGATTTCCACCTGAAGTCGCTCTTGTTCTGCTTGAGCCGACTCCAGCCGTGTCTGTAGCCGGAAATTTTCACTCTGTGACCTGTCGATAAAACAGAAGGTTACAAAGTCATAAGAAAAAAGATACTACAGACTTCAGATACTAGAGAAATTTACTGTACTATTCCATGAGTCTTTGATGCTAGTGAAGGGTTCCTGATCCAGTGAATTGTAGCTACTCTTCTCTTACTTGTATCAAACTTGATTTTCCCCCTGTCCCTGTGTCCTGAATAACTCATATGAGTTCATGAATTGCCCTTGTAATAATGATAATAATAATAACAGTAATAATGACAGTAGTAGCAGTAGTAATAACAATAATAAATAATTATAATTATTATTATTATCCCTAGGTAGTAGGTTGGTAGACAGCAACCGCCCGGTGGCCTGGTGGCTAAAGCTCCCGCTTCACACACAGAGGGCCCGGGTTCGATTCCTGGCGGGTGGAAACATTTCGACACATTTCCTTACACCTGTTGTCCTGTTCATCTAGCAGCAAATAGGTACCTGGGTGTTAGTCGACTGGTGTGGGTCGCATCCTGGGGAACAAGATTAAGGACCCCAATGGAAATAAGTTAGACAGTCCTCGATGACGCACTGACTTTCTTGGGTTATCCTGGGTGGCTAACCCTCCGGGGTTAAAAATCCGAACAAAATCTTATCTTATCTTACTACCGTCCTGCAAAGTGAGTGTAAAACAAAAGCCTGTAATTGTTTAACATGATGGTAAGATTGCTGGTGTCTTTTTTCTGTCTCATAAACATGCAAGGTTTCAGGTACATCTTGCTACTTCTACTTACACTTAGGTCACACTACACATACATGTACAAGCATATATATACACACCCTTCTGGGTTTTCTGCTATTTTCTTACTAGTTCTTGTTCTTGTTTATTTCCTCTTATCTCCATGGGGAAGTGGAACAGAATTCTTCCTCCGTAAGCCATGCGTGTTGTAAGAGGCGACTAAAATGCCAAGAGCAAGGGGTTAGTAACCCCTTCTCCTGTACAAATTACTAAATTTAAAAAGAGAAACTTTTGTTTTTCTTTTTGGGCCACCCTGCCTTGGTGGGATACGGCCAGTTTGTTGAAAGAAGAAGAATTATTATTATAATTTTCATTATAGTTTTTATTACAGCCTCTCCTCACATAGCGACGTACTCATTTACTAACGACTCAGACTTATGACAGGCTCTCTGACCAGTATGCATACCTAAATTACATTAGAACTGATTTCCTCTTTTCTGTATAAACATTAAAAAATATACCAGAAATATTATAAATGGTGCAAAGGCGACATTAAAACAATATCGAAGATGGTTGGCATGAACCCATTATAGTAATATGCTCCTCACTTAGTGATGAATTAGTTTACTGATGTGGTCTTAGGAATGGAACTTCATTGTTAAATGAGGATAGGCTGTGTTATTATTCATGCAGAGCGTTTACAAAACTTTTTTTTGTAAATGTATGTAAATGCCCTATCTGCTTGTGCACTGCATGTACCTTGGGTTTGTAAGATAGGAGCCCATCCCAGTGAAAATAAGTAAATTTGACTGACTTTTCTGGGGTTATCCTGGTGGGTAATATACATATATGTGACTATGTATGATAACTGAACTTACGTGTACCTGTACCTAAATAAACTTACTAACTTACTTACTCTCAAACTTACTTATCAAACTTTTCGAGCGCTCGCTCAAACTCCCTGTTAGCAACGTCCTTCTCGTCCTGCGCTCGGGTCACCTGCGCTTGAGCTTTCTCCAGCTTGTCCTTGAGGATGTCGACCTCGGTCGTTCGATCGTCCCGCTCCATCTGCAATATGCAACCTCCCTCAGTTTTACAGCAGCTTAAATTGATGTAAATCACTAAATCTACAGTGTGTGCGTGTGAATGTGAGTGTACCCCCTGGTTTGAGGCTGGTGTTTGGGGTCTTGAGTCAAGAAAATGCAGCTCTCCTTCTCTTCCTAGGATCAAACATGATTTATTCCCACCCCTCCCATACACCAGAAGGTATATGACCCTCATGGGTTTATTAATTCCCCAAAATCTGATACTTTTAACTCTTAAACTATTAATTATAAATATAAAAATATTTATTAACAAACCAGCCATCTCCCACCAAGATAGTGTGACCCAAAAAATGAAGAAACATTTTCACCATCATTCACTCTATCCCTGTCTTACCAAAGGGGCGCCGATACTGGTTCAAAACTGCAAATATCCCAACCCGTCTTCAGAGTGCAGGCACTGTACTTCCCACCTCCAGTATTCGAGTCTGGCTAACCGGCTTTTTTAATCCCTTCATAAATCTTACATAGCTAACACTAGATTATATATATATATATATATATATATATATATATATATATATATATATATATATATATATATATATATATATATTAATATTATATACTCCATACATTATTAATTTGTACAGTTGGGGTAACCCACACTATTTAAACGTTCAGCTCCAATGCGACCAATTATTAAGTGCGTATTGTACGTGTAATGTTTGGGGGACTGTAAAATGACTAATTATATTACAATATTATATATGAAATAAAATTCATTCAGTATGGCAATGAAACATTATTCTGAATGAAAAAATATCGTAAAGGGAACACTGTATTATATATATTATATATATATATATATATATATATATATATTATAATATATATATATATATATAATATATATATATATTATATATATATATAATTATAATATATATATATATATATATATATATATATAATATTATTATAACAGCCACAGGGGAGTGTTTCATGTTGCAACCAACACTTCTTCAGAGCTTGCAATGTTGCAGAAATGAGTAGCAAGTCCAGGTAGATTTGCTCAAGGGAACGACTCTAGCTAGAATAAGATAGCATCGAGCAGACCAGTGCCAGGTGCCAAAAAAAAGAAGGCAATATATTGAAAAAATAGCATTAAAAAGTATATAAAAATCCATCAACATTAAACATTTAGTAATGACCTAATGACCACAGCATTAATGACATCTCAAATATCACCATCGTGATGTCAGACTCCATATCATATCATTATAAAGGACATTAATATTCTGATCTCGGAAGTATCAGGCATCTATCAGCAGGAATATTCCTTCATATAAAAAGAAAACAGGTCTAGGGAAAGCAGCAGGCAGGAAACAACCCTTTTTCCAGAGGTGGACCCACTTCATCCTTAGGTAAATGCTGGCATGAGTGGAAGCAGCTGAACCTGAGTACTACTAAGTTCGTCATTGTAGAGCAGTATTTACATTAGTCAAACGAGTTGAGGTAGGGATCCAGGTTTACAATTATAAAGTTATCATGTTTGAATAAGGCAAAGCTATTATTATATAATGAACATTATGATGTCTTATAACTGCCAATTCTAAAATATTTATCCCCAGCCAACAGAAGCAGGGAGCCATGACTCTGACTTCTGACCAATTTGCAGAGTTATTGCAGGACCTAGTGTGATTGAAAATTCCATTTCATTCCTGTGCAGATCATATCAAATACTGATGTTGTGTTATCCTGACATCTAGAAGTTTGCCAGTCTGTCCCATGTAAGATAAGTTGCAGCCATTGCAAGTGATCCTGCAAATACAACCAACATAGTGTTGAAGAAAATTCTCTATCAAAGTGCTTTTAACAGTCCATAAATTCTTAAAAAAATACTTGTATATGGAATCTTTGTAGGGCACTTGGCAGAATAGATTAATTATCATTGTATGGGAGAACCAGGACATTCGTGTTATCTTATATTCAGTCCCATGATAAGTTTTTTTAGTTGCCAGCAACACTGATTCTACTAACCCCTTAGGGCACCACAGTGTCATGGCAATATCAAATATTTTCCTGATTTCCTCATCGAGGAACTGGGCGGCACACATGGTAAACTCTCAGAAACATAGAATGGCACTTTTTTTTACTCTTGTCTTGTGGTTAGAATAGTAGTGAATATACGAACAAACATTAACCCGTAAACGGTCCAGCAGATCTACATTCACATGTGTAGTGCTACAAAAGTAGATCTAAGTTTTTTTACACATTTTCAAATGTAAAAAAACAAAAAGAAGATCTACGTATATATACGTTTGGACCGTTTACAGGTTAATGGCTTTTCTAAACTTTTGCATACTGTAAACTTGAACGTTCTATCAACCTGTGTATCAATACATGTAAGAATGGAGGTTTAGATTCCATTTCCTTCTCCATGGTAAATTTGACAGGACCAGAGCATTAAGTTCCAGTTTAAATGTATCATGTCCATATCATTCTGCCTAAGACACAAGATGTCATCCACACACCTGATCCACTTGGTTTCATGGGGCAGGATATCTTTCAACAGCCTCAAAAAATTCCATATAAAGATTACTTAATAGGGGAGTAATATTTCCCATTCAAATTCAAACTTGCAATCAACTACACACAGTTTAAGCAACTCAATAATGGTATTCTTATTAAACTGCATGGAGAACTCATCTAATTCTTCTTCCAGACAATAGATTGGGAACAGGAATTCGGGTGAACACCGCCATGACGTCAAAACTTACTAGTGTAAAATCCTTAAATATGTTAATAATTTACAATTTGTCAGTGCAGTTCAGTTCGAACTGCACAGGAATTAAATGTGATTTTTCAGTCACACTAGGGCCTGCAATAACTACAAACTGGTCAGAAGCCAGAGTCGTGGTCGAGAATCGTGTCAAAGCCAGAGTCGTGGCTCCTTGTTTCTCTTGGCTGGAAAGAAATATTTTAGAATCAGCAATTTTAAGACATGATAAAGGTTCATTATATAATAATAGTTTTGGCTTAATGAAATTCGATAACTTTATAATTGAAGACATTGTACACAATCTGATGCTTGACTCCCACTTGACGTCACTGGACTAACATACATGCAGCAATATGTTGACAAATTGAGTAGCATTAAAGTTCAGCTGCTCACACTCAACCTCATGGATAAACCAGCATTTACCTAAGGATAAAGTGAGTCAGCCTCTGGAAATAGAATTGTTTCCCCTTTGTTGCTTCCCTTAGACCCATTTTCTTTTCTTTTTATACAATTAATTTTCATACTGATAGATGCGAGATACTTTTGAGATCAGAATATTAAAGTCTCTTATGATGCATTATTGAGTCAGATGGAATGATGGTGATATTTGACATGTCACTATTGTTGTGGCTGCTAGGTCACTACTAAATATTTATAATAATAAAATAATAATAATACAGTGGACCCCCGCTTAATGATCACCTCCCAGTGCGACCAATTATGTAAGTATATTTATGTAAGTGCGTTTGTACGTTTATGTTTGGGGGTCTGAAATGGACCAATCTACTTCACAATATTCCTTATGGGAACAAATTTGGTCAGTACTGGCACCTGAACATACTTCTGGAATGAAAAAATATCGTTAACCAGGGGTCCACTGTATCTTTATTTACTACAAGTATGTACAAGGTATACAGACCATAGCTGACATCAATGACATACCACTATATAGAAAGCCACTTGTTATGCAGAGCATTTCCCACAAATTAAGTCAGTTTTGCCCCAGGAGGCAACCCACACCAGTCCACTAGCACCCAGGTACCCATTTTACTGATAGGTGAACATAGACAACCAGTGTTAAGGAATCATGTCCAAAGTTTCCACCCCATCACCGGGAATTAAACCTGGACCCTCGCCATGTGAAGCGAGAGCTTTCGCCACCAGGCCGCTGGGCTTTCAACAGACTTCAACATTAGAGACTTTTGAAGAAACTTAAGGTACACGGAATAGGAGGAGAAATTTTTTCCTGGGTAGAGGCATGGCTGACAAATAGACAGCAGAGAGTTTGCATAAATGTGGAGAAATCAGAATGGGGGCACGTCACAAGCGGTGTTCCTCAGGGGTCAGTGCTGGGCCCGTTGTTGTTCACAATTTACATAAACGATATAGATGAGGGAATAAATATTAGCGACATAAGCAAATTTGCTGATGACACCAAAATAGGCCATCCAATTCATTCTACTAAGGACATTAGTGCACTCCAGGATGATTTGAATAGACTGATGCAGTGGTCGGAGAAGTGGCAGATGCAGTTTAATATAGACAAATGCAAAGTGCTAAATGTTGGACAGGACAATAACCATGCCACATATAAACTAAATAATGTAGATCTTAATACTACTGACTGCGAAAAGGATTTAGGAGTTCTGGTTAGCAGTAATCTGAAACCAAGACAACAGTGCATAAGCATTCACAATAAAGCTAACAGAATTCTTGGCTTCATATCAAAAAGTATAAATAATAGGAGTCCTCAGGTTGTTCTTCAACTCTATACATCCTTGGTTAGGCCTCACTTAGATTATGCTGCTCAGTTCTGGTCACCATGTTACAGAATGGATATAAATGCACTGGAAAACGTACAAAGGAAGATGACAAAGTTGATCCCATGTATCAGAAATCTTCCCTATGAGGACAGACTGAGGCCCTGAATCTGCACTATGAGGATAGACTGAGGCCCTGAATCTGCACTATGAGGATAGACTGAGGCCTGAATCTACACTCTCTAGAAAGGCGAAGAATTAGGGGGGATATGATTGAGATGTATAAATGGAAAACAGGAATAAATAAAGGGAATGTAAATAGCGTGCTGAAAATATCCAGCTAAGACAGGACTCGCAGCAATGGCTTCAAGTTGGAAAAGTTCAGATTCAGGAAGGATATAGGAAAGTACTGGTTTGGTAATAGAGTTGTGGATGACTGGAACAAACTCCCGAGTACTGTCATAGATGCTAAGATGTGTAGTTTTAAAAATAGGTTGGATAAATACATGAGTGGGTGTGGGTGGGTGTGAGTTGGACCTGACTAGCTTGGGCTACCAGGTTTGGTGCCGTGCTCCTTTCTTAAGTGGAAGTGACCTGACTAGGTGGTCAATGTTCTAGGCCGGGGGGGCTGGCATGGACCTGCTTCGCATCGGTCAGTAGGCATGTTGCAGTGTTCCTTCTTTCTTATATTCTTATGCTTTCTAATACTACTGTTTCAATATCTTGCCTTCACATTTCTGGCACCTGGCACTCGTCTGCTTGATGCCATTTCATTCTACCTCGGCTTCATACTCATTTCTGCAACACTGCAAGTTTCTGATGATGTGTTGATTGCAACACGAGAAGTGTAGAGCCATTATTCAACTCCCCAAGTGGTTTCTTGCATCTTATATAAATAAATAAATAAATATATATATATATATATATATATATATATATATATATATATATATATATATATATATATATATATAATATATATATGGTTTAGAAAGACACATAAGCAAACACTATAACATATTTATTATAAAACGTTTCGGTCCTGGAACCTTGATCACTTCTAACATACAGAGTAGAAAGACATTATATATATAGGCAGAGAGTGAGATGTGACGCACGTGACCTGAGGAATGTCATAAGAACATAAGAATGGAGGACATTCCTCAGGTCACGTGCGTCACATCTCACTCTCTGCCTATATATATAATGTCTTTCTACCTCTGTATGTTAGAAGTGATCAAGATCCCAGGACCGAAACGTTTTATAATAAATATGTTATAGTGTTTGCTTACGTGTCTTTCTAAACCAACTTGTCGGTATTTATTACCAAGGTTTATACCACACACACATATATATATATATATATATATATATATATATATATATATATATATTATATATATATATATATATATATATATATATATATATATATATATATATATATATATATATAACATTATAGTCTAAAACTATACCAAACTCTCCTATTGATTGATTACACTAGTTGTGCTAGTTTGAAGCCTATCTGAAGAGGCTTTACTGAGTTATTCAGATATTTTAGAAAAATGCAATATCCCCTAATTTTTGTTTTCCAGCTAAACTTGAGAAATTAGGACCTACACAATCTCACATCAATCCCAACATTTCCTAGGTAGGACACCCCAGTGTTGAAAGTTTGAAGTCGATCTGAAGAGGCATTCTCAAGGTATCACATGGAAACCTTGGATGGTGAGCATGTAATAAAATAATAGTAATAATTATAATAATAATAAAAATAAATATTATAAGATAATTATAATAATCATAATAATTATTACTATTAGAAAATAATAATAATAATAATAATAATAATATCAATTATAATTATAAGATAATTATAATAATAATGGTATTATTATTATTATTATTATTATTATTATTATTATTATTATTATTATTATTATAAGAAGACACAGAAGGTTAAATTCCAGCTCCCAGTAGCTTAACAGAGCAGTAACAGCAGCAGAAACAGAAGCAGACAGCAGTAACACCAGCAGACAGCAGTAACAGCAGCAGTAGACAGCAGTAACAGCAGCAGACAGCAGTAACAACAGCAGACAGCAGTAACAGCAGCAGACAGCAGTAACAACAGCAGTAGACAGCAGTAAGAGCAGCAGACAGCAGTAACAGCAGCAGACAGCAGTAACAACAGCAAACAGCAGTAACAACAATAGACAGCAGTAACAGCAGCAGACAGCATGGTTAGTGCAGAAGTCAACTACGAACTAACATACTAGTCGGGGTAACTCCTCAAAAAATTCTTATCGGCTGAACGAACAGATTCAGCGGCGTGCAGGGACTCAAACACTGAGTCTCAGAGTACACTCAGACCACACATGGTCTGGGACCTCAAAACTGGTCTTCTTGGGGGTCTTTAGAAACTTAAATTAGCTTTATTAGAAAACTGCAAAATTTGGTTTCAAAACTGCTCTGGTTTCTAAACTGACCTAGTTTCTAAAATAGTCTGGTTTCTAAACAGGCCTGGTTTCTAAAAAGTTCTGGTTTCTAAACTGGTCTGATTTTTCTCTGGTCCCTTAACTGATCTGGTTTCTACACTTGTCTCATTTATAAACTGGTCAGGTCTCTACGCTGGCCCAGTCTAAAAACTGGTCTGATTTCTAGACTGATCTGGTTTCTAAATTAGTATGGTCTCTAAAGTGGTGTGGTTACTAGACTTGTCTGGTTTCTACACTCGTCAGTTTTTTAGACTGGTCTTGTTTTTAAAGTGGTCTGGTTTCTAAACTGGTCTGGCACTTAGAGCTCCGGCAATCCACCGAATCATTGTCACTCATCACTCTACTAAACTCCTCACTACTGAACTCATCACTCAACTCATCATGCCACTGAACTGAAAAACAAAATCTAATGTGTAAAAAGTGGGAATTTGTTAAGTTATTTTCTTATAATCAACAAACTGCAACATTCCACTGCTCTCTAGGGGTAAAAGTATTCCAAAATAATCTCAACTAATTAGAGCCTTTCCTCACTTAGTGACGTACTCGTTTATCAACGACTCAGACTTACGATGGGCTCTCTGACCAGAATTTATACCTAAATAATGTACGTATATTAGAACCGATTTCCTCTGTTCTGTTTATTACAATATACAGTACACTACTGCATAAACATTTAAAAATATACCAGAAATGTTATAAATGGTGCCAAGGTGACATTAAAACATTATCAAAAATAGTTGACACAAACCCACTACCATTATAGTATGTTCTTCACTTAGCAACGAATTCATTTAGTGACATGTTCTTAGGAACGCTACTCTGTCGTTAAGTGAGGAGAGGCTGTACGTGAAAATTATTCAAGAATTTAAGGCTTTTTCGAAATTTAAAAAAAATAATAATACAGGTCTGGGTTGTAAATTTAGAATAAATTGGGAATCTGTTGAGAATTTATTCAGAATTAATTGAGAACTTGAGAATTAATTGAGAATTTCTTAAAAAAATGAGAATTTACTGAGAATTGAGAATTTATAATTTATTGAGAATTTAGAATTTATTGAGAATTGAGAATTTAAGAATTAACTGAGAATTTATTAAAAATTTATTGAGAATTATTGAGAATTAACTGAGAATTTATTAAAAATTTATTGAGAATTACTGAGAATTTATTGAGAATTTATGGATAATTTTTTGAGGATTGAGAATTATATATAAACTGGAAATTTTGATAGTTCAAGTGCTGAAGTGAAGAGCTCTTGATCCGAGGAGTTATATCAGCCTTCCTCTTCCTCGGATCAAGCCTATTAACCTCCCATTCCTCAGGGGCTGTAGCTCTTGGCACCTCATTCTGAATATCAAAATTATTTAATTTTCCTCTGATCAAAAAAATTCTAAATTTTTGGCTAGGATATCCTAGCAATAGCTAGGATAGACTAGGATATCCTAGCAATAGCTAGGATAGACTAGGATATCCTAGCAATAGCTAGGATAGACTAGGATATCCTAGCAATAGCTAGGATAGACTAGGATATCCTAGCAATAGCTAGGATAGACTAGGATATCCTAGCAATAGCTAGGATAGACTGGGATAGTCTAGTAATGACTAGGATGTCCTAGCAATGACTAGGATAGACTAGGATATCCTAGAAATAGCTAGCATAGACTAGGATATTCTAGAAAAGGCTAGGATAAATTAGGATATCCTAACAATAGCTAGGATATACTAGGATATTATAGCAATGGCAAGGATAGACTAGAATATCCTAGCAAAGTAGCTAGGATAGACTAGGATATTCTAGCAAAGGCTAGGACACAACAGGATATCCTAGCCATTGCTAGGATATCCTAGCAATGGCTAGCATAGAATAGGATATCCTAGCAATGGCTAGGATAGATTAGGATATCCTAGCAAAATAGCTAGGATAGACTAGGATATCTTATCAAAATAGCTAGGATAGACTAGGATATCCTAGCAAAATAGCTAGGATAGACTAGGATATCCTAGCAATGGCTAGGATAGACTCAAATATCCTAGCAGCTGCCAGGGTAAACTAGCATGAGGTTCTGGAAATTTTAAACTAGCACTAACATGAAAAGGTTTTAACCATAGATTTAAAAGGGGGTTTTAGGGGTAAGCCAGCGGAAGGTCTCGGTCAGATAACCAAAAGCTGCAACTGTGGGCCATCATGTGATGAAGACCTGCCTCAGGAAATGCTTGTCCTGTTTCCCGTTGAACCTTATCCTAACTTAGCCTAACCTAAACTAGCAGTGCATTTTGCATCCCAAACTGACCCGTTAAGAATCCTAGACTAGAATATTCTAGAAGAGTTGTGTTTTCCATCCCTAAACTAGCATATTCTAGCAAACTAAGAAGTTTCACCTCCCTAAATTGGCTTATTCTAGAGAACTAAGGTGTATTATGTCCCTAAACTAGCATGTTCTAGCAAACTATGGAGTTTTATGTCCCTAAACTAGTATAATCTAGCAAACTAGTGTTTTTTACATCCCAAAACTGACAATTTAACAGTCCCAAACTAGCATACTAAAGCAATGGCTAGGACAGACTAGGCAAACTTGGGTGTTTTATGTTCCAAACTGACCATTTAGTTTGTTAGCATATTCTAGCAAACTGAGGTGTTTCATATCCCTAAACCAGCATAATCTAATAAACTAAGGTAGTTTACCTCCCTAAACTAGCATATTCCAGCAAGCTAAGGTGTTTTCCATCGCTAAACTAGCATATTCCAGCAAACTAAGGAGTTGTACGTGCCAAAACTAACACAGCAGTCCTGGTACCGCAGTGTTTCACCTCTCCCTTGTCAACACAGCACCTACCATGAGCTTCTGGATCTGTGCTGATGTTTTCTCATACTTCTCCTTAAGCAGTTCCAGGTCCCCAAAGGCAGTCTCGCGGTCCCTGTGTGCCTTGCCCAGCTGTGCTTGCAACAGCTCCACTTTCTCTGTTATCTCTTCCACTTCAGAAGAGGCCACTTCCCTCTCCTTCTGCATGCGAGCCATCTGTGTCTGCAGGAGAACCAGCTGGAAGGATTAGCCAGGACTCGAATACATCGAGATGAAAGAAGATTCAAGGATGCTGTGAGATGCTCTACAGCTGCAATCTTTAGGTCAACAAAAGCTCATTTCAGGCAATCAATATCAGATTTTTTTGGGGTCATTCTGGTCAGGTCAAAAGCTGGGCAGGCTAACTGCAGCAAAATTTCATTCCAGCCAGCAGAATTTCCATAGCGGATAAGTAGTAGAGTAAGTCCCGCTATGATGCACTTTTGTCAAGAGGGCATTGGTATAGGACACCCCAATATGATTCACTTTTGTCAAGAGGGTATTAGTATAGGACACCCCAATATGATTCACTTTTGTTGGAGGCTGGACTAACTTACCTCCAATTCCTCAAGATTAATCCCTCCATTGCCTAGACTCCAGCTCCTGGACCATCCAGCTCCACTTCCTTGGATGCAGAGTATCCTCTCTTACACCCTGCTGCAATTCCTTGGATCAAGATCCTCCCCTAGCACCTCTTGACTCCAACTCCTCTAAACAAGATCTTCCCCCTCACATCCCTCTCCTTATCACCACCCACAGCCTCACCCCTCCACCCATACTCCAGTTCCTTGAATCAAGATCCCTCCTCATCCTGCATCTCTTGAACCAAGACCACTCTAGCTCCTGGACCAAGATGAACCCTGTTCAATTTTCCTTGGATCAAAAATGCCATCACAAGACATCCTCCTTTATGACTCCTGACAACCTCTATGATCACCATCATAACTCCTGACCACCTCTATGATCACCATCATAACCCCTAACCACCTCTATGATCACCATCATGATCCCTAACTACCTCTATGATCACCATCATGACCCCTAACCACCTCTATGATCACCATCATGACCCCTAACCAACTCTATGATCACCATCATGACCCCTAACTACCTCTATGATCACCATCATGACCCCTAACCACCTCTATGATCACCATCATGACCCCTGACCACCTCTATGATCACCATTATGACCCCTAACCATCTCTATGATCACCATCATGACCCCTAACCACCTCTATGATCACCATCTTGACCCCTAACCACCTCTATGATCACCATCATGACCCATAACCACCTCTATGATCACCATCATGACCCTAACCACCTCTATGATCACCATCATGACCCCTAACCACCTCTATGATCACCATCATGACCCCTAACCACCTCTATGATCACCATCATGACCCATAACCACCTCTATGATCACAATCTTGACCCCTAACCACCTCTATGATCACCATCATGACCCCTAACCACCTCTATGATCACCATCATGACCCCTAACCACCTCTATGATCACCATCATGACCCCTAACCACCTCTATGATCACCATCATGACCCATAACCACCTTTTAAAGAAGGTCATTTTTCACTATGTGGTATAATAGTGGTGACCTCGCCAGTGATTTCTAAGTTATATTTATCTAGTACCACTCCAGGGTCATGGTGAATAGAATATTTCAAAATTTTGCTAACTAAATTAGGCAGACACATTAAAGTTATATTTCATTATACACAATAACCACTGTGAAAACATAGTGAAATTCCAAGGTCCTCTGTGAGTTCTCACATCATCAAGGACCTGCAACAACAACAACAGCAGAAGGCTATATAAGACTGGGATATCATGTCACGGTCATGTCTGACATTACACACCTCCCATTATGATACTCTTGGAATTTCACTACTTGTTCACGGTGGTGGCTTTGTATTTTGTGATATCACCCGTTTACTGTGATCTTATTGCATATAGCCTCTCCTCACTTAGTGACATACTCATTTATCAATGCCTCAGACTTACGATGGGCTCTCTGACCAGTATTTATACCTAATAATGTATATTAGAGCTGATTTCCTCTATTCTGTTTATTACAATGTACAGTACACTACTGCATAAACATTTAAAAGTACAGTGGACCCCCGGTTTACGATATTATTTCATTCCAGAAGTATGTTCAGGTGCCAGTACTGACGAATTTGTTCCCATAAGGAATATTGTGAAGTAGATTAGTCCATTTCAGACCCCCAAACATACACGTACAACACGCACTTACATTAATACACTTACATAATTGGTCGCATTGGGAGCTGATCGTAAACCGGGGGTCCACTGGATACCAGAAATGTTATAAATGATGCAAAGGTGGCATTAAAAGCAATATCAAAGATGTTTACACAAACTCACTACCATTATAGCGTGCTCCTCACCTAGCCACGAATTCATTTAACAATGTGGTCTTAGGAGCGGAACTCCATCGTTAAGTGAGGAGAGATTGTAATTCATTATAAATTGATCATTTTTCACTATTTCCGAATAAGTCCAATATATAATTAGTCACAATGTATAACAATTAAGCTCCACAATTAACTCTTATATATTCTGTTTATTCCACATAGCTCTCTTTACTTTATCTTTAAATCTACTAAATAAACACCTATACTGCTACACCTTCGGGGCCAGGAGCTGAGTCTCGACCCCTGCAACCACAATTAGGTGAGTACCTTGGATCACGATCCCCTACCACCTCCCTTCCTATACCATCTAAGACTATCCATATCTTACACACAATAATACCCAAAACTATTAGATATTACATGCCAAAACTCTTCTAAAAACTTTTATAGATAATATATTTCAAAGGTAAGTATTCACAAAAGTTGAGTCATATGCTTCAAGTCCTTGAATCAAAAACCCTTCCTCACTCCTCCTCCAGCTCAATATTAGTTCTAATAATTTTTTTTATTTTTCAAAGAACTGGTCATATCCCACTGAAGCAGGGTGACCTAAAAAGATAAACTAAAGTTTTTTCTTTTTAAATTTAGTAATGTTTACAGGAGAATGGGTTACTAGCCCCTCGCTCCCGGCATTTTAGTTGCCTCTTACGACACGCATGGCTTATGCAGGAAGAATTCTGTTCCACTTCCCCATGGAGCTAGTTCTTTCTTCTCTAAAAATTTACTCTGCTCATAAGCATACACTTTGTGTATTTAACCCTTAAACTGTCCAAACGTAAATCTACAATTTATTTTAGATGCTTTCAAATGTAAAATCTATATTCGGAGCACTACGTGAGTAAACATAGATCTATGTTTGGACAGTTTAAGCGTTAATCAACCTCTACTCCAATATGCATACACACACGTTAGGAAGTATTTCTTCAGTCATAGAGTTGTCAGGAAGTGGAATAGCCTAGCAAGTGAAGTAGTGGAGGCAGGAACCATACATAGTTTTAAGAAGAGGTATGATACAGCTCAGGAAGCAGAGAGAGAGAGGACCTAGTAGCGATCAGTGAAGAGGCGGGGCCAGGAGCTGAGTCTCGACCCCTGCAACCACAATTAGGTGAGTACAGACCTTTTTCCCTAGACCCACAAACATTCCAGCTGCCAAAACAAAATATTTTCGTCGATTTACGACTGTTGCACAATAACTCGTCAGTATTTTGATTCTCCTTAAAGCAGGGTTCACTATTATGAATTAAATTTTTTAAAGAATCCTGAAAACCCAGATTTAGGAGATTCAATGAAATTTCTTGACCCCAAAAGTAGTGATCCACACAGAAAGAATTTCATGATTATGTATTAAAATTTCCCAAACACTCTGAATATTATTGACTTTGCAACCAAAAGTACCAAACCAACCAAGATTTTCATCTCAAATTACTTATAAATTACATTAAAAAATCATTAATGAACTAAACAATGTTTGCAAAAATTCTACGTCAAACTACAGTGGACCCTCGACCAACGATGGCATCGTATAACGTTAAATCCGACTAGCGATACATTTTAACCCTTAAACGGTCCAAACGTATCTATACGTTTTTTCAACATCTGAAAGTATGTAAAAAATGTAGATCTTTTTTTTTTTGTTTTTACATGTAAAAAACGTGTAAAAAAACTTTTATCTACATTTGTTTTTTGTTATATTTGAAAATATGTAAAAAAAAAGTAGATCTACTTTTGTAGCTACGAATTTGAACGTCGATCTGTTTGGACCGTTTAAGGGTTAATGCAAAAATTTTGCCTCGACTAGCGCTAAAAAACTCGACCAACGTGATTCGTTCCATTCGAGACACATCCACGTGTGGCCTGCGCAGTGTTTACAAGCCAGCCACTGCGGTTGCATCCAAACATACAATTGGAACATTTCATATTATCACAGCGTTTTTAGTGATTACACCTGCAAAATAAGTCACCATGGGCCCCAAGAAAGCTTCTAGTGCCAACCCTGTGATAAAAAGGGTGAGAATTAGTATGGAAATTAAGAAAGATTTTGAAGGGTTTGGGGCTTACCCTGAGACGCCTATGCCAGTTGTGGAATCCATTATGCTTACTTCAACGATTAAGGAAATGTTTGCAAAGTGGGTTGAACTGCAAACCTTTATGGATGAAAATCACCCTAACACAACTATTGCAAGCCGTGCTGGTGACTATTACAATGACAATGTTGTGGCCCATTTTAGACAAATCATAAAGGAACGGGAGGTACAGAGCTCTATTATATACATGTACTCTAGATGATCACACTTTTGAATAATCCTAAAAAAATACAATATATCAAATCACAATCACCAAAAAAATTACACTACATCAATCCACACAAAATTAATCATCAATCACAATCAAAAAAATTACACTACATCAAATCACAATCACCAAAAAATTACACTACATCAAATCACAATCACCAAAATCTGTTTTTTTTTTTTAAATCTTCATAGAAGACATAAAAAAACATTAAATCTTCCTAGAAGAATCATCAAGCTTACATAATCTTCATTTTGTGATAGTTCATCGAAAATTGTTTTCCAGAGTCTCCAAAATATTCTTCAATTCACTCCAACCGGTGACACACTTGACACTTTTATCTGATCGACAAACATTCCCACCCAACACAAGAAAAGAATTTTGTTGATGTACAACTGTTGCTGAATTGTCATTAGGGTTATGAAGGTTATAGTGAGGGGTTATAGGGGTCATGATGGTGATCATAGAGGTGGTCAGGAGTCGTGATGGTGAGCATGGGGATGGTCAAGGGCCGTGATGGTGATCAAAAAGGCGGTCAGCAGTCGTGATGGTGATCATAGAGGTGGTCATAGGTCGTAATGGTGATCACAGAGATGGTCAAGGGTCATGATGGTGATCACAGAGATGGTCAAGGGTTGTGATGGTGAACATAGAGGTGGTCAAGGGTCATGATGGTGATCATAGAGGTGGTCAAGGGCCATGATGGTGATCATAGTGGTTGTCAAGGGTCATAAAGGAGGATGTCAGGTGATTATATTCTTGATCCAAGGAAAATGGAACAGGATTTATCTCAGTCCAAGAGCTAGATTAGTCCTGGTCCAAGAGATGGAGGATGAGGAGGGATCTTGATTCAAGGAACTGGAGTATGGGTGGAGGGGTGAGGCTGTGGGTGGTGATAAGGGAAGGGATGT